ACATGATGATAACTGGTCATGTTTGGTGCTGCCATTGGCAAGGAATGGTGGGTTTGAGCTCCGAACCGGACAAGCAAATATGTAGGCCTGAGTTCTGCCCGGGAGCCGCCTCACAAGGCTATATGTGAGCGCCTTTGGGCCAGCATTGGGTGCGCCTGGTGGCTGCCACTTCCTGTGAGCACTCTGGGTTCGCGGTTTGAGCCATCACTCAAACGCGTATCCTTAACATGTATCAAAATAAGTGTTGGCATTGGGCGGTGGGGGTTGGTGTGTCGATGGTGGTGGGAGAAAGTCCGTTGAGCGCTACTGTGCGCACTAACACCAAAGTAGTGTCTTTCCTAAATGGCAGCCATCCCACCCTACCGTTCCCACAATGGCGACCGTGCCACCGGCGCGCGCAACGCATTGGAGGAAGCGGCTCCCCGGCCGCCACCCCCGCGAGCCGGCCGCCCCCGGGGCGGCATGTATTTTCGGACCGCCCAGAAGCGCACAATCGCCATGAAAGCCCCGACGGGCCCAAAGCGACGGCGGATCCCCCATGTCGCATTCCCCTCCCGAGCTCCGTCCGGAATGGATAACGTTGCAGCACCCCCATACCTCCCATAGCCCTCCTATCGTACCACAGCGCGTTGCACCGGCCTTCGTCGCGGTACACGTACGAAAGTGCGCATGACAAATGTGCGCCCCGCCCGCCAGCATCTGGTCCAGGTTGGCACCAGCCGCCATGGCCGACCGCCTCGTGGGGCCCGGTCCAAAAAAGCGGCCGGCGTTGCTGTCATGGCAAACGCGGAGGGGCACACTAAAGGGCGGCTCCCATCGTGGCCTCGCCCACACAGGTAGCGGAGTTCAATCCGTCGGCTGGAGGCGGCCGGGGCGCAGGGACGGGCGAGCGTCCAGGGAAAGCGGCGACGGGGACGGACCAGGCCGCCCCGGCGGAACCTCCCGGGGCAGGGCTACCTGAAACAGGCCGGACGGGTCAGTGCTTGCTGGCGCCCGGCGATTTGGCCATCTTCGACGCGACGTGCCATAGCGCAGAACCGTAACACCCGGATGGGCGCGTCTGAGCGGGATGCGGAGAAGGGATGGGGGCCAAGTGGGGCGGCGGGGCGGTTTGGGGGGGCAGTGGGGAGGGGAATGGGGGGAAGGGGACAGCGGGGGGGGGGGAAATGGGGACCGGGGTTATGTGTGCGGTGGCGGTTGCTGCGTGGCTGCCTCGGAGGGGCTGCGGCCGCGCGGCGGGGTTGAGGGTGGCGGGAGGGGCAGTGGGCGGGGGCGCCGTCCCTTGGGAGCGCAATGCTGCTGTCGGACCGCCCGGAGCTTGGAAGAACGTGGGGATGGCTTTGGGCGTGCGCTCTCGAGAATCTCACTCGCCATCCGGATGTCTGCCGTTGGTGGCGCTGGGGACTGTTGTACCTCCGGGCCGCCCAGCCGGGCGGCCTTCGGCCCTTGCTGCGGACGGCTCCGCGGCTGAGGCTGCTCAAGAGGGGCCGGATCTCAGCGCGGGACGCCCTAAGCTCGGACCCGCCACTCGCCATTCCCTGCCGCCAGCGGCGGGGCTCACGATCCCATCCCGCGTAGTCGCGGCGACAGCCGCGCCCAGCGGGCCCCAAGGCTCTGCTCCGGTCGTCCCACGCCGCACACCCGCCCCGCTGCTAGCCGCACCGCCATGGCACCGCGCGCTCATGCCCAATGGGGCCGGATTGAGGTGTGCCGTATATCTGATGAGCGTAGTTGCGGTTCGCCATGCGTTCCACGGGAGCGACAACCCCAGGGCCCGGCGCCGGGCCTGCGCCGGGGGCCGCCGCGCCCCGCCCGGCATGCCGCTGACGCGCCCCCCTCCGCGCTGTTCCTGGCAGGAGCGACGGCAGCATGGACAAGTTCGTGAGAGTGGACAAGAAGAAGGACGACACCCCGATCTTGGACAACGAGGTGGGAGGTTTCGGCAGCAGTTTCGGAACACGCAGATGGCGGCAGCGGGCGCCCCCCGGCGGCGCCACGCGCGGGACGGCCCCCTCTGAGATCTGTCTCCGCCCTGCAGGTCCGCGTCACGACGGTCGGCAGGCTGCACTCGTACATAAATTATGCGGCGTCGCTCATCAAGGTGGGATGCCGCGCGTTCGCGCATGCTGTCGCGCGGCACAGCACGGCGCCGCCGGCCGGGGCCCGCGGCGCCGAGGTCGCGCCGCCCGACCAACCCCCGGGCGAAAACGCCAATGACACGTCACGTGCGCGCGCCGCACGTGGGTGATGGCCGCTGACGGGGCTGATCGGCGCAGCGCTGACACGTCGTGCTGTGCGCGGCCGATCTGCAGGACAAGGGCCACCGGTCTCTGATTTTGAAGGGCATGGGGAGGGCGATCAACAAGACGGTCTCCCTCGGTAAGCGGGCGCCGGGACCGCGTCCGAACGGACGTGTGCTCGGTGCGGCGCGGGGATCATGGCCGCATGCCTCCGGGGGACTGTGCTGTCAATGCCATTGCGCTTCAAATCTGGCATCCATCTCAAAATCTGCTCTTCAACCCCTGCCCCGGGAGCTTGTCAAAATCCTGCCCCAATTTTCAGATCTTGGTTGGTTCGGCTGCAGTGGCGGTTCTTTTTCCCGCGGCGTTGCCTTGTGGCATCTGACCGTGCTCACATAAACATTGGCCATCCGCAGCCGAGATTTTGAAGAGGAGAGTCGAGGGGCTCCATCAGAACACGGAGATCGGGTCTGTGGACATAACAGACACATGGGAGCCCAAGGAGGAGGGGCTTAACACGCTGGAGCTCACACGCCATGTTTCGGTCATCACCATCACCCTCTCCATCGACGCCCTGGACATTGAGGCTCCTGGGTACCAGCCACCTGTCGATGAAGCTGAAGTGAAGCCCCTGCAGCTGGGGGAGCCAGAGAGGCGCACTGGTGGCCCCAAGAGGGGACGCGGTGGTGGGAGGTATGGGAGTTGCAGCCACGTGTTGTTGCTGTTGAAAGTCCTGTCTTCTCCCTTTTCATGGCAAAAGCCTCATGCAAGTGTTGTGCTCATCATGTGCCAGGCGCAGTTGCTGCTGTTATGCAGGTCACATCTCCACACTGGTCCATTAACTGCAAACTGGCCCCTGTATGGGACCAGTGCTGTTCGCACTAGCCACATGAAATTGGATACGAAAGGGACGGGCCCCTGTAGCAAGTTGGGAGTGTGTTGAGAAGCACTTGAAACCCTGAGGACAGGCCCCTCCGGTCCAGGGTGAGGTCGAAACAACAATTCCTTTTCTATTGTTGAGCAATAGCTTGTATGGAACAAAGACAAGATGTGTGTTTGCCAGTCCTCTCAATGCATTTGTGAATATTGGCCAAAATAGTCAAGGTACAATATACAACCAAGAGTATGTACCTTGCAACCTACTGGTACTGACGAGATTTTCCACTGCATTCACCCTTGAAATTCCTGTTGGGCTAATTGCGGGGTCTGCAGCAGCATTCTGCAAGCTATGCGCCATGCAGCAGCTCAGCGTCAACTTACCGCATGCTGCATGGACAAGCTGTTGTTGTTAATCGGTTCACAGGGACTCAAAACACCCCAAATTGTGTGGTCTCCATCCTCTGTGCACAGCCCTGAGCAGATATGCCCAGAGTTGCTCCTCAACTCGAGTCTGCATGCAGCCATGAAACCAGGCCCATGGCCCAGAACCCTTGATTGTGGTTTGGACTGCCTATATGCCGTGTGCAGTACACTTCCCAACAGCCGCAGTTGCTGCTGCCAAGGCAGTGAACAATGTTGTGCCGTCCCTTGCCTCCTGTGCCGCACGTCCTTTGTTCCCGTTGTGGCTGCATTTGATGCATGGCAGGCACTCTCTGAGGGAATGAAATGCCATGCCATGAATACCACAAATGCCTGCCTGGTATTGCACAGATTTGTGCATCCAGTCCTATTTCCAACGCACGGGAGGGTGCACAATACACCCAACTCAAATAGAATTCATACAAGGGGGCCGGGCCACATCCACCGCCCATGGCCGCGCGTTCCGCATCCGATTGACGGCCGTCTGTCGTGGGGCGCAGGGGGCGTGGGCGCGGTCGCGGCAGCGATGGTGATTCCGGCCGCGGCAGAGGCTCCTTCCGAGGGAGAGGCCGCGGGCGCGGGCGTGGCAGAGGCGTCACCTACGGCGTGGCCGGCGGTGAGGCGCACGCAGCAGAGGACACAGCCGCCACCTCCGGGGGCGACCAGGCCTGAAGATTGGCATGAGAGAAGGCCCGCACCCACGTACCCCACGACTTGAGATGCGCACATATTTAATTGAAACCGGAGGGCGGGCATAGTTGCACCGCACCCCCCCTTAAGGAGCGACGTATATTTGGGCGGTGCGTTGTGTTGCATTTTTGCCCCCTTGCGGGCTTGACCACCGCGGACGTGTGACTTTTCGTTTTAGGGAAAGATGGACAAACCTGGTGTGAAACTGACCCTTGGGCGAGGCGGCGTGGAGTCACTGATTTGACTGTGCTGAGTGGGGAGGGGAGACGCCCCGAACGGGCGCTTTGTCTCGATGTACATCAGTTCGTGTTGTTGCGCTTGTCTGTGAGGTTGGGTGCGGTGCGGCACATAATTGTTGTGGTGCTTATTGCACTGAGCAAGGTCTGGGCGCGGTTGCGCCCATCCGGTGGGCTCAAGGGACGAATGGGCTTGATGCGATGGCTTCAGTCGCCATCTTGACGGCCTCCTGGGATGGGCTCATCAGATGGGCACCCCTGTTGCCTGGCGTCGGATTGCAATGCTAATATTTTAATGGTTTGTCTGGCCCGCCGCGACTCTGGGGGTATGTGACTGACGTCCGCGGCGCGATGGGCGGATTGTGTGGCTTGTGCACTGGACGTCCTGCCCCAGTCGGTGACTCGGATTCCACTGTCCATTCACGCTTATGTTCGGCTTTGACATTTCCCGGTGAAGTGACGTGGTGCCGACGCGCGCAGCCGGCCATCGACGACATTTTGGCGCTGGAATCTTTTGCTGAAACTCCAGGATTGTCCATGGTGCTGGTTTGCAGTTTAGGTTGACATTGACCACTTGGAAGACTTCGATTTCATCGAAAGCCTATAGCGCTGGTTGGATGCGCTGGTCATGTGGCTCCGAGAATAGCGTTGTGTCCCTCCCTGCAACGCTGACGACGGACAACACGTGCCGTTCAACCGCATTGTTTTTGTCAAGGGATTTGGTGCAGCAGAAGCGTTGCGAGTCTCTGCAGATTGACGCGCAAAATGGCGGATGGCTATCATACATTGTGTATTCAGTTTTCCTGACTCCATTTATATTTGTTTTTCTGCATTATTATCGTATGTAATTGTACACTTGTCCTGTGTATTTTCATTTACGCTATGCACACACCGTGTTCGGCTTGCCCCACCTACACCCCGGTTTTCTGTGTCGCAGTGTCGCCGTGCTCCATGCCATGCATTATCATATCTCGCGTAGGTAATGCTGAGGTTGGCGGTGATGGACCACCTTTCCGTTATTCGATGCCTCGCAGGGACTGCGTTTATGAGACCTGAAACCCAGGAGTCCGCGTGTGGATTTATCATTAAATGTCGGTTTGCAGACCGCATTCGTTGAGATCACGATCAATTGATCAATTCTTCAATGAAGCAAGCAAGCAGGAAGCCGTTGACAGAAGATCATGACATTTGGTGTCCAGAGATGCCCTGGCAACGTCATCTTGAGGCGGACCGCGACATTCCTGTTGGTCGCGCCGCCGGAATTCGGGCAATTTGTGACTCCTGAATCGATGCTCAGCGAAAGTGGCGGTGCCGCAGGTGACTGGTGAATGGTGGGCAGCCCCAATCCTGAACGGTTCAGGGACTTCGCCTGGCTCCATCCCCAATCGACTGCATATTGGCGTCTGTTCAGAGGATGGCACGCACCCAACCCGCTGGTCACTCTGATCACTTTGGAGCCCGGTAGCCCGTCGGATGTGTGCCAAAATATTCATTTCTATGCCCGCGGTTGGGAGTGAGAGCTTGGGCTCTACATGGCGCTGACGCAGCAGGTAGCCAAATCCGGCAGGCTTTCCGGAGAAAAACGTCAAAAAGGGAAGCAGGGGGAGGGTGAGAGGGACTTCTGGGGCCAAGTCTCCGACGCTATCTAATGTGCCATGCGCTCGTTGTCATTGGCCCCTGGCGTAAATCACAGTCCACTCCGAAATTGGGAGGCAGCCGCGCCACAGGCCACAAGCTGGCCATCACAGATTTGTAGATTATGTGAATGATGATGTGGGAATCATTGAATCATTCAGCAGCCCGGACACAGCGGGGGGCACATTTTCGGAGGCTGTCCCGGCAACGCAGTGCTGTTGCTCTGTGATGATTTTTTTCGCCAGCGTTTGAACAAAGTGACGAACATTCACCACCGCGATCTCAGATCGTTGATCCGACTGACAAACGTGAAGCGGATGTGGTAGGCAGCAGGGATGGAGGGCACAAATGAGACCCGGCGCTCGTAATGCAGTCTTCATGCACGGTTGATTACGCTGTTCTCAGCAATTTTCCATTGCTTGGTCATGGACATAGGTTGTGTGAAATGTCACACAATGCATTTATGCGCACTTCCAGATGTGCCTGGGCGCGCTGTACGCCGCGTGGTGCGGTCATGGAGCGCCATGCAGTGGTGTGTGTGGTGCAACTGGTTTGGTAACCGCAGCCACTGTAGAAGGACCCGAACCATTATGTCCGCGACTTCGTCATTCGACCTCACATTAACTGTTGGTACTTTTCAGCGGCAAGGCAGCAGATTCCCTTTCAACGTGATTGTTTCCAACAGTGGTTCAGTTAATTTTGCCATTGTTTTTAGCAGAAACTGACCAGAAATACAGCGCCGCCTGGACAAGTACATGTAGTTCTTCAAATGGAAAGTTTTTGCCGATGGCCACAGCGACAACCTGGCCAGCATGATTGATAGTCACCTATGATCGATTTATGGACATGTGTACCACATAAGTAATAGATGACATAGCCTGGCACAACTATCCGATGCTCTTCACTACCATGCACGAAGGTCATTTTCTGGCTTAGGAATTTTAGGTCTTACATTCCTGGGGCCCTTGTACCTTCGAAGGTGAATTCATGACCCCTTCGTGACCTATATTTCCGGAAATGAAAGGC